GGGGGGGGGGTGGGCGATGCTAGAGCCAGGCCTCTGGGGCTGGGGTCAGCACGATGCAAGTTAATGTTTCCACAGCCTGGAACTGACCTTGGCACGTGGTGGGCATTGGGGGCGCCCGTGAGGTTCCTCCCGGCCGGTGCTGTCCCCCCGGGGTAGGGTCCACAGCGCTCGGCTGCGCTCAGGTAGCCCACACCTGTCCTGCTTGACCCGTCAGATCATGCTGTCACCGGAAGCAAGGAACACCGTGTGGGTGTCCTTCGATGGACGAAAGAGACAGGAGGTCCGCCACGGAGACAGGTGTGTGGGCCACGGGGCTGCAGTGGGTGGGGCAGGTGGGCTGAGGGCCCATCCCTGGTTCTCGAGAGATCGTGTCATGGACCTGTGCCTGGGGTGACGGCGCCCTGCCAGCCGTTCCCACCGCTTATCCTTCCGCCACCCTGCTCCTTGGGGTTCCTCTGGACCTGGCTGCATCGAGGTGGTCCCTTGTTCTGTCCTGGGGGGCACAAGAGCACCACTGAGCCCCCAGTTCCTGGCTGTTCTCAGGACCAGACCGGAAAGTGGCAAGGTGCCCAGGCCCCCAGGGCACCGTAGGACCTGGGGCCAGGCTTTGCAGCAGGTGGCATGAGCAGAGCTGAGATGGTCCCCGGCCGGACCAGGGAGGGGTCTTGCTCTGGGAGGGCGGCCGGGCGCTCGGTGGTTCTAGGAGGGGCCACGTTGCATCTCTCCTGCTTCAGCATCAGCATCACTACCTCTCGCTACCCGCTTCCCTCCATCTGTGTCCGCGACCCCGTGAGCGACTGGTTTGAGAGCCTGGCACAGTGTCTGCACTGGAACGTGCGGAAGAAACAAGCCCACTTCGCGGAGGACGAGGAGGATGCACACGAGGAGGATGGGGCGGGGCGGGCGGGGAGCCAGGCCTGCGGTCCTGCCATCTGCACTCGGGACGGGCGGACCTGAGCGCATCGTGAGCGCCACGGGCCCGGCGCCAGTGGCAGGTGCCGCACCACGTGTCTGGCCAGAGGAAGGGCCTGCAATCTGCCTTTTGTCGACCAGATCAGCTGTTTTTAACATTTTAAATCTGACTTTTCTGCATTTCTAAACAAGTGATCAGACCAGGAGCTCTGAGGTCAGCCCAGGCGCACCCACCCTGCGTGTGGTCAGAGCCCGGCCCCAGGCAGGGACGGCCGAGCCAGGTGGGCTCCTTGTAGTTCCTTGTCAGGAAACTTCTATAAATCAGTCTGCTGAGATTCAGAGGGGATCAGAATGAATGGGTCTATCCTACGGTCTTGAAAATAAATGTCTCACGGCCAAAAATCTTCCTTCAGCTCCCACGACTTCCCCTGAAGCCACTCGGGGGGACGCTTCTGCCGAGAGCAGGTTGGCTGCCAGGACAGATGGGTCCCCAGGCCCCGGTCTCCTCCCCCGCTTCAGAGTGACCGGCGCTGGCGGGGCGAGGGTTCAGACCTCACACATTCCTCGGGAAGCAGGGACGCACCTTCCGACCCTGGAAGGTGTTCTCCTGTGTCTACTTTTTAGAGATTCTTTTAAACTTTCTGAAAGTGCTTACGTACAGGTTTTGTTGTGTACACTTTGAGAATTCGGCGAGAAGGGAGTTTGTGCTGTGAAGTGGGACCATCCTGTGCAGCCCGGGCGACCGTCCGGAGAGCTGGGCGACTTGCTCAGAGTGCCTGGCGCCCGGCGGGCCGGGAGGTGTTGAGGCTGCTCCTGCTCCTCCCCGCGGGCCTGGCTCGAGGGCGTGCCCATCGTTCCAGCCCCCGCGCGCCTCTGTCGCTGGCTGCCTGGGGCTGGGGCCGCCTGGAGTCTGGTGGGAGCAGTGGCTTGCGGGGGGTGTGTGGCCCTGGCCCCGCTTACTGTCGCCTAACGGGCTTCCTATTTTTGAGTAACTGGTTTCTCTCTGAGTTGCATTTTCTCCTGTTAAATTGGCCAGAACAGAAGGGATGGGGGCCCGTCATTTCTTGGACTCCTTTCTGGAGGGACAGGGGCGGGGGGGCACTGTGCTTTGCCCGCTTGGAGGGTCACGGGCTGATGGAAGGGCATCCAGGGTCTCCAGGGCGGGCCCTGCGTCCTGAGCACCGTGGCCGACATCCGTGTGTGTGTATCAAGTGCTGTTGCCTCGCGTGCCTGTGTGGGCAGCTCAGCTGGTGCTGGGCACGGAGGTCGGTTCCCACCCTCTGCCCGCGAGTTCGGGCACAGCAGGCGGCCCGCTCGGCCTCCCATGGGCTGAGGGGGCGACACTCCCAGCTTTAGGCCCAGAAGAGAGTGGCATTCAGAACGCAGGTTACTCGTTCAGACAGCAGAGCCAGTGTAGACCAAGTCCTGAAGCGTGACCGGGAGTGACGGCCTATAGGAAACTCTGGGTTTTTGAAATCAATCCTTAATGTTTCATATTGTTAATATCTTGAAAATTTGTTAGATGTTGAAAAAAGCCTTATTACTATTTTCAGATTCTTTCAATAAACAGGCTTGTATAAAAAGTTGGGTCGAGTGACAACTTAATTTGGTTCTTTGTAACCAACACCAAGATGCTGAGGAGGGTGGACCAGGCTTGGGGAGCCCAGATGCGCTGAGCCTGCCCTTGGCCCACCCATAGGTAGGGGGTCGCGCTCCAGCAGTCCCCCCCACACACCCCGGTCACGTCCTGTCCCCAGTGCTCTGGGGTCGGGCTTCAGGGCCGGTCCTGCAGGGAGGAGCCCGAGGCCTGGGCCGAGGGTGCCCTGCAGAGGCCGGTGGGGCACGTGGCCCGGCCTGGAGCTCCCGCCTCCCTCCTCCCCTGCCGCCCGCTCCGGCTCTAGGTCTCCCTCCCTCCCTCCCTCCCAGGCCTGGGCAGAGGTGGGGCCAGGCTCTGCCAGGAGCCAGAGCGGGTGCCACGGACACAGCCTTGTGGGCCGGAGCCTGGCGAGAGATGGGACGAGCGCCCCTGTGAGCACTGCTGCGAGGCCACCGCGGGCAGACACGGTGGACGCCCGGGCAGCGGAGCGGCCCCCGCCCTGCCCGTTGGGATCTAGGCGGATGCGTGGGCGCGGCTTCTTCCTGCCCAGGCGTCTTGGCGGCTGGGAGGCATCTGCTGTCCCTCCGCTGTGGGGCTGGGTTGGCGGCGTGTCCGCTGGGACGTGCCTGCGACCGCAGTCAGTTGCACGGGCGGCGGGGCAGGGCGGGGGCGCTGCCGGGGCCTGAGGCGCTCCGAACTCGAGGCGGCCGTGCACGGACCCCAGGCTAGGCCCTGTTGCTCCAGGAACAGAGTGTCTGTCTACTTGAGGGCAGGGGTCAGCCCGGCCAGCTGGGGTCTCTGGGCCAGAGGGGCAGGCTCACCGTGGACTGAGACACTGCCCGCAGGATCGCACTCCTTGGCAAAGGCTGTTGACCCCTGAACCTTGATCTTCTGGGCTTTGTGGAGCACATTGAAGGGGATGCGGAGCCCAGGTCCCAGAGACCATAGGACAGGGGACCCAGGACGTCTCCTGACCTGGCCGGTGGGGCATTTCTGTGGGCCAGGCCTGAGGTCCCTCGAAGCTTCTGGTCTTCAGGGCGGTGGCCTTGGAAACCTCTTCTGGCCTTTCCTGGCCTGTGTCTGAGCAGCACCGGGGCCAGACCTCACCCAAGGCCTCAGTGCTGGGCGCCCACCCAGCTGGCCTCCCCTCTCTCAGGTCAGGCTCCGCAAGCAGCAGTTCCTGCCCCGTGGTGGCCGGGGCCTGTCCTGCCGAGGTTCCCACACCTGGGAGCCACTGGGTACCAGGACCTGGGAAGTCTGCCTGGGGGGCCAGCTGGGGGTGAGAGCAGGTGTGGAGATGGAGGCCAAGTGGCAGGGTGGGTGGAGGCCTGTTGGAGAAGCCCAGAGGATGGGGGGGTGCGGGCAGGGGGGGAACCATGAACTCGACTCACCACAGGGGGCGGGGTTGGCCACTGCTGGCACATTTCACCCCAGAAAGGTCCAGGCCAGAGCTTGGGCCACCTCAGAATCTGGAAGTGCTGAGGATTTGGTGGAAGAGGTGAGGTCAGTGTGGGCCAGGCCGAGGAGCGGGTGGAGCCCGCGGAGGACAGCAGGGACGGGGCTGGTCTGCGCCCCGCACCCTGGGGAGAGGGCCTCCTGCCCCCAGAAGCTCAGGACAGGCAGCCACGGGGACAGAGGCATGGCCTGATCTCAGCCGGCTTCCTGGGAGCTCGGTGAGGCCCGTGGGTGCCCTGGACTCTCCCAGACGCTGGCCTGAAGCAGCAAGGGGGCAGCTCCCCAGCCCTGTGGTTTTGCTTGCATGACCTTTGGCCCCAGCCCCAGGGGGGAGAGGTTTTAGGTGCCCTCCCTGCTCTGCCAGTACCCCCGGCCCGTGGAGTCCAGAGGCTGAGCCCCAAGATCAGGCTAAAGTGGGGGTGGGAGGCTTGGGTCACGCCACAGGGTGTGTGGAGGGGTACCCAAAGGGCAGCCAGGGAGGCTGCACATCTCTGGTTTGGGGACAGACCTGGGCTCGGGCCCAGGTGTCGCGAACCTGAGCGACTTTGGCTGCGGACTCCCTGTTTCCCCATCTGCTGCTCAGTGGGCAAGTCCCAGAGGCCTTAGCGGCTGCTGCTGCCCCACCCCGAGTGGGTCTCACTGAGGGACCTTCGGGCACAGCCCTCACACTGGACGGGGTTCTGGCCCCCCAGGGGCAGCTGGCTGAGGTGATGGCCAGGATGACAGGTGAGTAGACATCACCCACGGGACCAGGGGCAGCGTCCAGAAAGGCTGCTTGGCCGTCCCAGGCTGTGGGCATCCCGGCTGGACCCAGAGCCTTGGAAGGACACTCGGGAAGGAACCAGAGGCCTCGACTCCACAGTCCAGTGACCTGAGGATGGCCAGGGGCCCTGCTGGGCGGGCCAGGGCTGAGTTTGGAGGGGCCAGGCCCAGGCAGACCCCACCGGCCTCGCCTGCTGGTGAGGCTCCCCTCCTCCGGGCACTGCCCACTGGATGGGTCTGAAGGCCACACACTCGGGACCGTAATTACATCTGCAAAATCCCTTCCCAGTGGACCGAATAATGGGTCCCCCCTGCCCCCGAGAAGCCTGGAGCAGACTCAGCTCCCGATGCCTTGGGTGCCCAGTGGCCCACATGGGCTGCCGGCCTGAAGCCCCCGTCCCCCCTCCTGCCCTGGCAGCTCCAACGACCCCCCCAGCGCTGACCACTCCGCCCGCCTTCCTCCCAGAGTAAGCTAATTACAGGGGTTAAGCAAGGGTGCCCAAGAGCACCCCGAGGTGGTGAGGCCTAACAAATGGTGATCGTTTAAAAGAAAGAGAACCCCTGGGGCTTAACGTGGAGCCCTCAGAACGTGGGCTCAGAGGCGCCCCCGGCCCAGCGAGGGGCTGCCATCAGGAGGCCGGGTGCCTAGGAAGCAGCATCGTGCGGGTCAGTGCTTCCTGGCGATTTTGGCGGTGCGGCTGGAGGGACGAAGCGGGGCTCCCCCACCCTTCCTCCCGGGACCCCGTGCTCTGGGCCTTGTGGGCTCCCAGGCCCAGGTCCACACCTCCTGCTGTCCTCACCGTCCCCTGGGAACTTGGGCTCCTCCAGGCCCTCAAGCCACCAACCCACCTGACTGCAGCCATCACGTCAGACCATGGCCCAGATGCAGACTGAGCCTGTGAGAAGGGGGCTGGGGCCGGGGGGCTGGACTGGGAGAGGCCAGCAGATGCCACGAGGAGAGGCAGGCTGGCCGGCGCGGGGCTCCTTCACGAGAGCTGCTTCCTAACAAGTTTGTGTCTAATGTGCAAATCAGCAAAGAGGCTGAAATGGTCACATTTGAAGCTGACAGGGGTGGGAAGAATCCTGGCCTGTCTAAAGTCTTTCAACCCCAAATTCTGCTTCTTGGAAACTCCAGCAAATGCAGGTAAAACCACTCAGACCCCTTCCCTGATACTGGAAGTCAGACACGGCCCAGCGGTCAAACGACTCGCTACCTGCAGCAGTGTCTCCTGCGGTGTTTAGAGAAGACTTACGTGAAAATTAACAAAGGGGAACCTCAACTGAAATGCAGTCGGGAGGCCAGAAGGGTAAGCTCTCAGGCAGGTGCCCCTGGGCCTCAGCACAGATCCCAGCAGGCGGAGGGTCCCCTGCACCTGCGGCCAGAAGCAGAGACTTCACTGCCACCAGCGGGAGGAAGGACGATGTCCCCCGCCTGGCGGCCTCTCAGCCAATGAAAAGCCGCCGCGTGCCTCCCAGTTCCTCCAGTAGACTGTTTGCAACAACCTGCCCTTCTCCCCTGCTTCACCAGACTTGCATGTGGTTCACCATGGCTGCCTGTCCTGAAATTCACTTCTTTGCTGCTGCCAAA